TATTTGTGTGTATGGTTTGTATATAGGTGGATTAAATATTTAAAATGCAAATGAATGGCACAAGGGATGAAATCCTTGAGAACATTTTGGGGGTCATATTTAAATATCAGAGATGGCTCAAAGTAAGAACTGTAGAGTGTCTAGCTGCTTAAACTTTCTCACTATTACCTCTTAATCATCATCTAGCCTAGCCTGGATGTATTCCAGCCCGTAAACTGAGAAGTGTTTATAGATTACAGTCTTTAGTCTTTAATGACAGATGTTATGTAAATACAAAGTTATTATTCAAGCAGAATATGTAAGTTTGGGGGTCCAAAAATGGAAGGCAGCTGACAACCTCAAACAGTGGAGATGCAAAACCCAGCTGTGTGCAGCCAAACCCCACGGAGAGCAGCAGTCCATAAAGGCGTCTTAGGGGAAAAGGAGCAAACAAAACAAAATAGTCCCTTGACCCAAATAAAATAAAAGAAAGAAGGGACAGATTTCTTCTCTCCCTACACAGCAGCTATTGATGCTTTTAATGTAAAACCACATATAAAACAAGAGGGTATAGGTAGGGAAAACTGGAAACTGAATAGTTTAATGATACTGCCCGTTCATGAAGAGCTAAGAGATTTAATAATTGAGTCCTAGTGACACTATCCAAAGTTTGCCTTTTAAGTATGCTTATAATTTAAGCAAGTGAATGTCATTTAAGTAAAAATTCAGAATCAATTTAGCTGTAAGACTGATCTCAATAGAAATGGGTTTACCTAGTCTCATGTATGTTCTCTTAAGAAGTTATCTACTGTTTGCCTTCATATCTGAGAGAGAAATGATCTGTAAAAGAGCACTCTGACCTTTGTTAGGCTGAAGGCCTATAAATATTTTATGTTCTTTACTGCAAAAATTTGTAGATCCGTGAGTGTAGAAAATGTTTTCTGTCCCAGAGACCCGTTGGCTAAAGGAATCGGTCTTGTTAGGCAGCTATTTCCAGTCCAGCCAGATCATAATTATTTGACCATTTGGCTTAAGTGAATTCTATCTCGGGGAGATTACTTCCCAGGGAGTAGAGACCCATTTAAAAAAAAAAGCATGTATAAGCATTAAAATCTATCTTCCCCTCCCTAGATAGTTTCCCATAGTTGGGGCTCCAGCACGTTGGCGAGTAGCTTGTGCTACTGCTCTTTGCAGGCAGAGTATGTGACTTGACTTTTCTGTGCAACCAACCTGGCATCTTTCAGAAACAAGAAGTTTAAAGCAAAGAATGTGGAAAGTTCCAACAACAGAAAAATTACAGCTTATTTATCTGTTCCTTAATGCTTCTGATTTATGTAATGTATAGATAGCCACCTAAACTAGCCATCGCATGGGTGACCAGGACCCTGGCAGCATAAGAATGCATCACTTGTGCAGATACAAAATTTTGTAAACCTCCTAGAATGAAATAATTTCCTTATGTACCCCACAGAAGTTTTGTGATGGCTTTTTTTGAGGTTTTCTGTTTCAGCATTCAGCTTGCAAAGAATATGTTGGCACTACTAGAAACTCACTTCTTGTCAACCTCTTTGAAGGTTTAACTATGTAAAGCTCGGCTGGGTTAGCAACCAAAGCACTTCTTGACTGACAGCTGAGAGCAAGTAAATTATGCTGGGGCACTAGTTAAATTATTAATTCTATAAAAACAAATTATGCTGAGGCACTAGGAGGATATTTTTTTTGTGTGTATATAAACTATACTTTTAAAGAGTGGTACATAAATGTGTTTTAGAACAGAGCATTTAAAGAACAGGATTGCTAAATGCCAGGGAAAAGGCATCCCTTGACTTTGTGTCACATAGCACATTTAAGTAATGATAGCTGTTGGGCTGCGAACAATCAGAAACTTTTGCTATTTTACTTAAAATGTCACTCAGCATGAAGCACCCCATCAACACTGGAAAGCTGCTGTTGTAGAATGAGATCTGTTTAAAATGGGAAAAAGAAGGTCTAGGGAAAATACAGAATTGGAGAAATTGGCTGTGTCGAGTTAATGTTAATTGTGTCAATAGATGGGATGGGAAGGGTGGTATTGATGGAGTGTATCTTCCAATGAGGCTGAAAGTTAACCAGGATTTAAACTGGGTCATATGGGGAAACGACAATGCAGAAGCATCTGGGGAAAGGCAGCCTGTGAAATGGAGTCAACAGTACAGAGCTCTTTCTCAGCCCAGCTGTGACAGCAGCAGGTGCCTGCCGTGGGGAATGATATCTCCATCGTAGTCAGTTTAGGGTGTTAAATAACAGAGAGTCAGGAAAAAATGTGTTTGAGTCAGATTCAGGCAGAGGTAACAGCTCCGTTCTGTGCCCTTTCCTGCCTCATCCTTTCTAATGGTTTATTCTCCCTGTAGGAGAGGATCCAGAAACTCGGCGGTTACGAACTGTGAAAAACATTGCCGATCTTCGCCAAAACTTAGAGGAAACCATGTCCAGCTTACGGGGAACCCAGGTCACTCACAGGTAATGGCATGACTTTGTTTATAAGAAAATGGGAATCACAGTGCTCTTACTTTACATCTCTCGGGTCTGGCTGGGCTGCATCCTTAAAAAATTATCAACACTGACAGTGGAAGATACCAATCTCGTACTTTCTTTTTTTAAAGCACAGATTCTGAACTATGTTCTCTGTTTATTGAGATTTATAATGAGTAATGGGTGGTGTCGAGTTGTATATAGAATCAAAGGTGGAGAGTAATCAGTGCTTGTTAAATGTGTTGGGTGATGTTTGAATATAGGTTACTGGTTAAAATGTTTCTTCAACTTACTCTTGAACAACTTCAGTGCATTGCACCCCTCTCCCCCAATGTGTAATATTTTGTTTAAATAAGCAGGTGAACTGTGCTTGACCCACTCGATAAAGTGCATAACTTGAATTCCTGACCAATCTTTGGACAAACAAATTTTTCTAATATTATTAGTCATCCATGTGTATAGCTGCTTTTTCTTTGTAAAGCGGTGTTTGGAAATCTTCAGCAACGTTTCAAATATGCTCTAAATACACAAAGACTGTTACTACATTTAAACATTCCGTGACTCAGATCTTTTCAGGGTTGAACAGGAGGCTTGGGAGAATGCACTGATTGGTTCCTAATGAGGTCGGGGTCCTACTTGGAGCTCGGTGCCTTATGGACTCCAGCCCTAAATGAGTTCATTGGGGAAACACTTTGTCTTTTGGCTTTGTATCCAAAACTGAGGCAGAGCTTGCAGAGATGAACTCCCAATGCTATTTTTCTTTCCAAATCTCAATTAATGTGACAGCTTATTATGATTTAATTACTATCACCAGAGGATGCGTAGGTTTTTGCAGTGCATACATAACATCATATTGCAAATAATACAGTGCTGCTTATTTTGACAAATATCCACTAAAAAAAAAAAAAAGGAACACTATGTTAGTTGAGCAGGAAGGGAAAAGGGGGGTTCACATGGGTAAAAGAAGTTGCAGCTCTGGGTTAGTCACCACTAAATTAGCTGTAATTAAGCTGCAAGTGTTCAGAGTGTAGTCGTACGATCTATACACATCCCCTGAAATCTCATGGGCTAGCAGTCACATTTTTAAGGTTCCATATAGCAGTCTACATTTAATAAATGCATTTAGTTTTTTAAGCACATTGGAAACTCCTCATGTCACCAGTGTCACTACCGAGATAAGTGGTCACAGCGTTCTCAGACCAAGTGCAGTCTGTAATGGCATTGCTGTTGGAAGGAATGCAGCAAATTCAGAGGCTCAGATGCAGAGAAGGGAAGATTTAATATAGCTGACACTTGTCAAAAACTGTATTTACAGGCTATGAACTAAAATGCTTTTGTAGCTAGAGCTCTGTATACATATTATTAATATTTTGAAAAATATATTCAATTAATGAATATATATTTTGAAAAAGTATTTTTTTATTCTTTTTTTTTATTTAATCCTTTCTTCAGTGTAGAAATAGCTTCCATCTTGGTGCTGAACACATCTCCAGAGTATTAGTACTTTAGTCAATGCAGCCAAAAAAAATAAAATGTATCAGAAAAATAGTACTTCAGTTGGTTTTCCTTTAGTCAGCTTAATATCCTACTCCCTTGCCTGGAGTGGCAAAACCATGGTATAATAGAGCTATATATGACTGAAGATTAAAAAGTTATGCTTTGATACTGTGGATAATCCATTTTAAAAGTTCCTGCTTAAGTCTTCTCACACGTGTGTTGCACACTTGGTGGCCTGGATGCAAGAGTATCCTCACTTGAGAACAGCGTTGAGAAATGACCCTAGCTCTCTCAAGGTGTTACAGCGGGTAGATTGTTAATGCTCTTACTTGCAGTCATAGAATCACAGAATGGTTTGGGTTGGAAGGGACCTTGAAGCTTGAGTTCCAACCCCCCTGCCATGGGCAGGGACACCTCCCACCAGCCCAGGTTGCCCAAAGCCTCATCCAGCCTGGCCTTGAACCCCTCCAGGGATGGGGCATCCACAGCTTCTCTGGGCAGCCCGGGCCACAGCCTCATCACCTGCACAGGAAGAAACTTCCTCCTAATCTCTCATCTAAATCTATCCTCAGTCTGTAACTTGGTAGCGTTCAGGGCGTAGGGTCTTAAAATCACCTGAAAACTCCTGGCGCTTGTATAGCCAGCCCCATTTAACCAAAGGCATTTCTTCTTTCTCAAGCACATTGGAAACTACATTTGACACCAACGTCACCACCGAGATAAGCGGCCGCAGCATCCTCAGCTTAACGGCACGACCCACCCCCTTATCGTGGAGACTGGGGCAGTCCAGCCCCCGCCTGCAAAAAAAAAATGGGAAACGGGTATCCTCCGCGGGGGAACGCCAGCCGCTTCATCAACACCGAGTCGGGGCGTTACATGTATTCAGCACCTTTGCGGAGGCAGCTAGCATCCCGCGGGAGCAGTGTCTGCCACGTGGACATCTCAGACAAGGGAAGTGATGAAATCGATCTGGAAGGCATCACCATGGATGCCACCGGCTACATGAGCGATGGGGATGTGCTGGGCAAGAATATCAGAGCTGATGACATCACCAGTGGGTAAGTGCCTTCACTTTTCTTCTGGAATTCTATACTTGACATGATTCTTGCATTATGTTAAGTGATGCTGTATTCTTGTAGTTATTTGGAGAGACAAAAAACCACACAAAGATATTCTGCTGATTTTAATAAGCATTTGGGGTCATTACCGTTAATTGTGTGGGATTTAACAAACACATGCTGCACCATTCATTTATGCCCACAAGATGGAGAGAGTGAGACATTCTCTACTGATTCCTTTTGCTGTCTGAACTTCGTGGGGACACTTCTCTGGAAGGAAATGAGTTTAGACCTCTGTGTAGGGTAAAATAGCTGTACACACAAAATAAAGTCTAAAGAACAAAGCAGTGTGCAGAAATATTAACAAGGTTTTGCATCAACCTTTTACCTTCGCTGAGGCTGGAAAAAGCGTTTGCTCTTTGGTCCCGTCAGTATTCAAGTCAGTATGTCTGCTTTCAGTCCCTTCTAGAAAGGACAGTCATTTTTTCTTAGCTCAAGTACATCAGTGTTAGGTTGATGTTAAAACTGATCTTTGAGATGTAAATGGCATATTTATTTTTGTGGCAGTCTTTTCCCTGTCTGGCCAGTTTGCATCCTTTGCTTTTCTGTAATTTTTCTGTAAGTGAGACTTCTTGCAGCACTGGCTTATTTGGAAGGCTTAATGTCTCTTACTGAAATAAAAAGCTGAAACCCAGCTGCTGCTTTGTCACTAACTTAACCAGTTAAGTTATACAATCTGGAAACCTCCGTTAATTCTGTCTCTTGTGAATATTTGGATGTTTTCACACTGTCCTTTTTGAAAAGTCAGACACTTAATTCTCTGTTAGGGAAGCATATAGTAAAGAAGCTGGTGCAAAAGTCAGTGTAAAATTCTATCTCAGATAAAGCAGCAGTAGCTGTTGCTGCATCAATAATCCATCATATCACTGAAGTGCCTTGTGTTTTCCTTAAATCAGCTTATTCCTGAGTTTTGCAGTGTTTATTGTAGAAACAGTTATTGCTTTTCTTCTTGAATATGACTTTTATTCCTCTCGCTTTTATTCCTTTTATTTTACTTTATTTTATGGCTGTAATTTTGGTTGAAAAGCGAGCTAAATAAATCCTGAGTACCACCATGGTTTCTGTAAAACACCTAGAGTAAAAGCTGAGAAGTGTCCCTGGCAGAATTGTGTCAGTTCAGGCTTCTGCTGCTCACATCCTAGACCAGCCCCAGTCCTTGTTGATCTTTACTCAGAGGCTAAAGTTCAGATTCCAGGTTGAGGAAAAGGAAAGAATAACAAAGCTGTTGAGTTTTTGAATGATATCTCCAGAGAAATCTGTGCCTTCACTCATCTCTGTGTCCCGTTTCCTTTCTGTGTCTATCTGGTCATCCTATAGGGTAAAGAAGGGAAGTCTCCATAGTCTGGAAACATAAGAGTGGTCTGTAGATTCTGGGTCTAAGGAACGAATAATGTAAGAGAACGTTTTTGCCAGTTGGTACCTCTGTCACCAAAGCAGTGAGTTACATACCATGAGTAATACAGAGAATGGGGAATATAACATTTAGCAGAAGAGTTATGTACTCCACAACGCCTCACTCCTAGCCTTGAGTGTTGGAACATATTTAACTGACTTTTATTTCCCACTAGTTTTTAATGGAGGGAGATGACTTTCAGTTTTCACTCATATAACCAGCCACAGATTGATAAGTGAGATCTCAGTTTAAAGTGCTTAGGACAAGAAGAGTTACATGTACTAATGTCTTTTTCTTTTCCATATTTTTTGCCTTTAACTACAAAAGCCTGATAATGCAAGTTGGTTTATTGATCTATATAGCACTGCTGTAGTCATTGACTAAGTTCCAAGGGCAGAATCTGTATTGTAGGTCAATCCATCATTGGAAAGACCCAGCTGCTTTTCCAGGTTGCAGGCAGGGTTTGGAGGTCCTCTCGTTGCTGCACCTCTGGTGTTCGGAGGGAGCATTCCTGGAAGCAGCCCCACAATGTTGGGGTGATGGAGTCTGTGGAGCGTAATCGTGTGTGCAGATTCCCGGAGAAGGGAGAATTGCAGTATTGGATTGCAGTAGCAGCGTGGGATATAATTCCAATAACAATGGAGAGAGATAAAAATGAGGGTGTTCTCTTTGGTGAATCTCACTGACATCTCATAATGCTGGATTGTCATCTCCAGTATGAACAGATGTTTTGGTAGCCTGTGTCAAGAGTTATCATCCCCAATGTTGGTTTAATCCCAATAATAATAATTTAAAAAAAAAAGTATGTCATTGTGTCTTTGTGGGAGAGGAATGACATACCGCTCAGAAATCGGAGAAGTTGCTTGTAGAGAAAATGACTTGCTGCAGAACAAATCTCTGAGATCAGTGTTAGGGCCAACAGGCCCAATGTTTCCAGCAGCTGAGTTACAGTGTGCGGAAAGCAGCACAAGAGGGCATTTATAGCATGAATAGCTCTTTATGAGCTGGTATGTGTTTCACTTTGTCATTTTTCAGAATTGCTACAATCCTGCAGTCTTGAAAACCTTGGATCTCTGTTTTCATTGGCAAACTGATAGGGAAGGAAGCCAAAATATTTGTTACAGCCCAAATAAATCCAATGGCCAAGATAAACTATTGTAGCCCTGTGATCCTGATGCTTTCTCTGAAATGTCCTGGGTCATGGGAAGTTTCGTTTGGCCTCCTTTAACACGTCTGCTCAAGCAGAGCCCTGGCAGACACCAGGATTGCTTTCATAGGGTTAGAGTATCCTTTCCAAATGGGCAGAAAATATCTCTTCAACTAAGCAAGTATCCAGGGGGTGGATCAAAGGTGAGAAGTGTGGGAGTTAAAACAGCAACCGAATGACAAAGCAGCGGCAGGAGGAGGATTTATGCCAGGTGGATTTCTCCTTCTGGGCTCGGGGCTGCGAGAGCCTCATTGGAAAGTGGCACCTCAAAGCCTGCAACTGTCTCACCTGTCCACCCCAAAGATTGTCCCAGGTGGGGACATCAACTCTCATGGCTTTTTTGGGGTTTGTTTGGAAGGTTTTGTCCACTTCAGTCTTTGTTACATACAAGTTCCTACATCTTTTTGTCCTCCCGCCCGCCCCAGCTCTCTAGTTCTCTCTAATGAGATGTAGAGTTAATTTCCTTTTTATTTGTCCTTGGAATGGAGCAACAGAGCTGTTGGTCAGAAAGGCCTTTTAAAATTCTTGTCTTTTAATTTAATTAATCCTTTGCCCCTGTTCTCATTACCCTGGCGTGCAGCTTTCTGTGCAGAATGAACAGTGTGGATATCCCCATTAGCGCTGGTCACACATTTTCTCAGGAAATGGCTTTGGGTCTGCAAACACAGCTTGTCAAAACAATTTTTTTTGCAGAAGCATGTCCGTTCCAGCTATGTTCCAACGAAATGTAGATTTGATGATTTGACAGCTCGGCTGCCCTCGAGCCTGAACTCCGAGGCAGGGCAGATGTAAGCAGCCCCGTGCATGGACCGTGGGGCTGCCGCGTGCCAGGCTGGGCTTTGGGGTGCACCCAGCTCGCTCTTTGGGGTGTATGTCATTAAGAAACGCTGCCTAGTGACTCTCTCATACCCCAACTACCCAGCCTAGCAGTGAACTGCTCCCTCAGCTATTAGATGAGGACAGAAGGGCTCAGCCTGCATTCAGTGTTCAGGGGCCCTATGCTGAAATTCTCCCTGCAGAGACCTCCCGTGGGTGCAGCGGCTGTTGTGGATGTGGGGAGACTTTTTACCGTTTCATTAACCTCCACATTTGTTTCCTGCTGTGGGGCTGATACATTCCCATTCCAGATCTCTGTTTCCACAACCGCTTCATGTGTTTGTGTGCGTGATGCTCATGGGATTAGGATTCCTTCTTGTTTATTCAAGCCTTTATGCTCCCTGGGGATCTTTCTCCAAGCAGGTGAATTGGGAACATGGATGAAAGGATGCTGAAAGGGAGAGCCGGCCACTCTGGGCTGGGGAATCAGGCTTTACCCCCTGATTCTGCTCAGGTCAACCAAACCCACGTAAAAGCCTTGTGCCCTAGGGTAGAAATCATCTTTGTGGTGCAGAGACCTGTCTACCCTTGAGTAACATGGACAAAATCCATCACAGAAGTAGAGTGCTGTTGTAGGATGAAATCAGTTCAATATGGAGAGCTGAAATGGAGACTGATTTCATCGAATGTTGAAGTGTAATTGATTTTTGTAGGATTCTTGCAGCTCGATTGCTTGATTCTGTGCTGTCAGTCAGTGATGCATCTTTGTCAGATGTCAGGCTCATAGTGGCCTAACAGCCCTTCACTTGGGCGAAGGTTTTACAGGAGGAAAAGGAGGACTATGCAGTTTGCTGCTAATAAGAGTTTGTTCTTGGTAACAGTGGTTAAGAGAAACCATTTCCTTCTCAGCTGTCTGCAGCAGGGATCCTTGCTGGTGCAGGTAACGTGTGGCTGAGCTAGTCGTGGGCTGAATGAGGACCTGTTCACCCTGTACATCGATTGAACTCCAGCTATAGTCTTTTCCAACCTATTTTTTGCCCTAATGGGTACCACTGTATTTTTTTCTGTATGCTTTGAGTTAGTCGTTTTACTGGACATTGCACTTTAAAAGGAATTATTTTAGTGATAAGATTTCATCTAAATACAGTGGAGGGGTAAAACTGCCTTCCTTATATGGCTGTAACACTTCAACACAGCTAAGAATAATTAGGGGGGTTATTTGGTTTTTCTTCTCCTTTTGAGCAGTGTTTATTTGAACTGTCTTGCTTCTTACAGTTTGATCTTTTCAACATTGCAGAATAGGAGCTATATAAGGGAAATAGATAATTAACACAAATAATGAAGGAGTCAGGCAAGCAATCTCAAAATTTTGACTTTTATGGAATGGTGTTAGGAAACCATGATTTCTGACTTTCTTAGTAAATTGTGTTGAAACTGCTTTATAACTAGCTTTTGGATTTAAAGTCATAGATGTCCTGGTACTGTGAGAATGAGAAGAAAAAAATATGGCAGTGTTTAACTAAA